AAGAGAAGAGGTCACAGGACAGAACTCTGTGAGATATTTACAGTGAGAAGGTATGATCTAGAGGAAAATCCAGCAATGGAAACAGACAAATAATGGTCAGATAGGTAGGAGGAAATCCAGGAGAAAGTGGTGTACTGAAAAGCTAGAGAGAAGAGAGTACCAAGGAGAGAGAAGGAAGATCGAGAAAAGGCCATTGGATTTAGGAACTAAGAGATAATAACTTGAGAGAGAGAGAGAGTAAGAGGAAAGAAAGTAGAGGCACCTATTGTAGATAACCTTTTTGAAGAGTTTATAGGGTAATGGTTAGCAGGGATGGAAGGATCAAGTAAGGTGGTTCTTTTGTTTGTTTTTTTGTTTTAGGATAGGGGAGACAGGGGTATGTTTGTAGGCAATAAGAAATGAGCCAGCACAGAGACAGAGATTGAAAATAAGTGATAGAGTGGAGATGATAGAAGGAGCCGTCTGTTTGAGGAGAGAGGATGGAATGGAATCACTTGAACAAGTAGAGGGGTTAGCCTGGTAAGGAGTAAGTCCACTTCATTAAGTGAGACAGGGATGAAGGAAGAGAAAGGGCAGAAGACATTTGAGTAGTAAGAGATGAGGAAGAGGAAAGAAGAGGGAGCTCACAGTGAATGGCCTCAATTTTTTTCCGTAAAATATGAAGCAACATTCTCAGCTGAGAGAGTGAGAGGAAGAGGAGCCATGAGAGGTTTGAAGAGGGATGAAAAGGTCTGGAAGAGCTACTGTGGAGAGTGAGATAGTGAATTCATAAAGGAGGTATAGAAGGATTGCCTAATGGCAGTAAGTGCCCAGTTGAGGTGGAATAACACAGTAGTAGACCCAAGCCAAATGGCTGTGTGATTTTCCCCACCTTTGTTCAACAGCACATATAGGCACAAAAGGGTGATTGATGCTTGGCTAGGCCCAATGGGAGATATGATAAGAGAGCTAGGGATCAAGAGAGAAGGACAGTGTAGGGTAAATTGTTTCACCAAGAAGTCAAGATAGGGAGGATACAGTGGCTAGTACGGGGCAGATGGCCTAGGAAAAATTGAGGGGTCAATTCAAAGCACTGGAGGTCACAGTATGGATGAAAGTAGGGTTATGTAAGGGAAGACAGAGGGAAAGGTGAAAAACTAATAGATTATGGTCAGATAAGGGGATTTCAGAATTCTTGAACATCGAGGTGGCACATCTATAAGTTATAGCAAGATCAAGAATATGACCATGTTTATGTGTAGCTGAGGAGGCACTCATGGGTAGTAAGTGGGTTGAGGAACTGCATGGTTGGGCACTGGAAGGAGAATCAATATGTGTACTGAAGTCCCCTAGTATGAGAAGCCTAAGTCTCTGAACATATTCTTGTTCAGGCAGAATCTGCTATTCTGGTAGAAAGAGAAAAACCATCTAGTTTTAGCCAAGTGGAATCAAATTCTCCCAACACCATATAAATTTGTTAATCGCTTCCCTACACAGACTTATTGTGATCCACAGGCTAGAGAGTTTATCAAACTGATTTATATCTAAGTAGCTGTGTTTTAGGTCCATGCTCCCAGTTTCCCTACAAAATAGAAATGATGTAATTTGTGCAACGGTATAGCCAGTAACTGCCTCTAATGACATCTAAAGTATAAACTGTAAAAATTCCTTTCTTGGATGTGCCTCTACACTGGTTGAATAATCTTAGGTAAGTCACTTAAATCTCTCTAAATCTCAGTTTCTTCATCTGTAAAATGTAGACATTGAATTCAATAAGGTTTCTTCCAGCTCTTAAATTATATACCAGTCTACATTTTGCTACATTGTACTTATAAAAAAGGGCTACACTATCTAGGGTCCATTTGTCTCATGCAAAAATGTTCACAAAATCAAGAAATACCAGTTAGAAAGGACCTTAAAGATCTATACTTAAAGATTAAGTATAACTCTCCACTCAATGTAGGATAGTATCCCTTCTACATTATCCCACTCAGACTGCTCTCTAGTCTATTTTGGAACAGCAAACAGGAACTATTTTGAGATAGGACATTTCTAGACATCATTAATTGTTAAGAAGTCCTTTTGTATGTTAAGCTGAAATCTTTTCTCATAAATTTTACTCTTGATCTATTTCTTCCTTCTGGAGACATACAGCCTATTCTCTCTTCCAAATGACGATCCTTCAAATATTTAAAGACAGTTAACTTGTACCCAATTATGTTTTCTCTTGCCAGACCAAAAATTCCTTATATTATATACCCTATTCTCTATATGAGATGGCTTCCACACCAATCAGTACTTTTATTCATCTTCTAAAAAAGACTCCAATTTGTCATTACTCCTCATAAAACATGGTACCAACAACTAAACATAAAACTCTAGGTGTAGTCTGCATGGCACAGAGTAGAGTAGAACTATTACTTCCTTCAAAGAAAGTACTCTACTTCTATTAACACACCCTAATATTGCATGGGGGAGGGCAGCCATATCACATCACAGACTCATGCTGAGTTTGCAGTACAATCAAGTTCCTTGAGGGCAGGGATTGTCTTTGGACTCTTTTCGTATCCCCAGCACTTAGCACAGTGCCTGGCACACAGTAGGTGCCTAACAAATGCTTGCTGAATTGAATGAATGATAAAGCATTTGTTGGATGCTTACTATGTGCCAAACACTGAGCAAAACCCTGGGAATACAAATACAAATAAGCAAGATAGTCTTTGCCCTGAAAAAGATTACACCCTGGTGGAGGGTGACAACAAATAAAGGGGAGCTATGAGAGAGAGAGAGAGAGAGAGAGAGAGAGAGAGAGAGAGAGAGAGAAGAGAGAGAGAGGGAGAGGGAGGGAGGGAGGGAGGGAGGGAGGGAGGGAGGAGGGAGGGAGAGAGCATGGACTGGAAATGACTGGGAAGTGTTATAGAGGCCTGGCCGAAGGCAAGATAAGCAACAGTTCATCTATCAGAGCCCAGGGATCCAGAGATCAGAATGTGCATGGTTCTGATGGGAGGGTGGTGAGGATCTCATGTAACCTACACTTAAGCAACTTGAGTTTTTTGTTTTTGTTTTTTTAACACAAGTGCAGGACTTTTTATTTATTCCTAATTAAACTTCCTCACTGATGTAACTTCCTTGAATTCTGATTCTGCAAGTTCTAATTCTGTGCCATCCATGGACTTGACAACTGGGTTAACCACATTTTTACACAAGATAGATCCTAATCAAACTTCTTTGGTATACCACCAGAGAACTCTTTCCAGCACAACACTGATTTCAACATTCTTTGGATACAACTAGTCAGTATCTACAAATCTATCCAACTGTATTATTATCTATGAAGGAAGAAAACAAGCATTTATCATGTACCTATTATGTACCCAGCACTATGTTAAGTGATTTATAAATATTATTTCATTTGATCCTCACAATAATCCTGGCAGGTAGGTGCTATTAGGCCATTTTACAGTTAAGGTAACTGAGGCAGACAGAGGTTAAGTGACTTGCCAAGAGTCACACAGCTGGTAACTGAAGCCAAATTTGAACTCAGGTCTTCTTGACTTCAGGTGTAAGGCTATATCACATTTCTGTATGTAATCCACAGAGATATCACAAAAGATCTATTAAATTCACATATATGTCAAGCATGTTCTGGCTTTACTTGTATTGGTGTAATCTATCTTCAGGCAGCTGAGCTCACAGCAAAAAGGGACACCTCCACCTTCATTCCCTACCCCACCCGTCCAACACACACACAATTTCTGTTACTGGTACTTGGTAGTTGGGGCTAACTGAAATTATTGCACCTTTCTGGAACCCAAAGTTTCACTGATTTGAAACTCACTATAGATATATAGGGACCTAAACCACCTATCCCCTCATTATTCTTAAGGAAGGGCCATCTCCACATATATCTTAAGCTATTGCTTCTGATGACCAGAGGAAGCTTTTGGGGAAACTATGAAATACATTTTTAAACTTTGGTCATCATCTTCAACATCATTCCTTATCTGTTAGTTAATTTTGAGATAAAATGTTTCTTTGTTGAAATAAGCATGGAAAACACCTTAGTTTGTAGACATATGGAGTTCTACTTAAAAGTCCAAAAAGAATTTAAAAAGGAGATGAAATTATAACTCTCAAGCTGAATAAACAAATTAGAGAATGAGATCATTTGGGAGAACATGGCCAAACTAAATTGACATCGATAATACCCATTTGTTGTTTGAACCTGGTATGATTTAGCATAGTGCCTGGCACACAGTAGGTACTTAAAGGTTTACTGATTGACTGATTTCTGTTCTAATGAAGATAATGAAATATTGTTGTTGATTATTACTTTACATTCAGCATTATTAAGTTTTAAGAATATATCTGTATATAATTTATGAAAAGTATTTAAAAAATTTAAAAAAATCAGAAAACCACTCTAAACACTAAAGAATAAAGAATTTTTAGTACGCTGGTCATATGAAATATTTAGTGCTAATAAGATGTTTAATAGCTATATCACCAGAGCAAAAATATTACTTCACAGAAAAGTGAATACCAAACAAGTAGAAAGAATTTGTAGTTGTTGTTGAATTAAACCTGTGATTTCCCTAGTGTATGAAAACTCTCCATGAGGAAACTCCTTTTACCAATGCAGATGAATACTTGCTCACAACTTACAGTCTTGGAAAGTTCCCTGGGACATAGAGTGACTTACTTAAGTCACACTGTCACAATGTCACAGGCAGGACTTAAAGCTAGGTCTTCCTAACTGTGAATCAGATTCTTTATCCACTATATCACACTGCCCCTCAAAACTTAATTAACTCATAAAAATCAACACAGTACTACCATTGTTGATGGATGCAGTTAACTCAAGTCCAGAGAGTTTCTAGGATTTCTTACAACAATTTATATAATAATTTATATTATAATTATAAATGTTATAATATAACATATGATCATTTAGAACTGCTTTATAACAATAGGTAAAGACTCTCTGACTGTCAGGGTATAAAATTCAAATGTGTACTTACATTATGTGTTAGATCGAAGAACTTCTGACAGGCCAACTGGTAGTGAGTGCCTTTTACGTAATCCAAAATCTTAAAAAAGACAGTGAGACCGAGGGAGAAAGACACAAGAATTAATAATTTAACCCAAAATACAGCGACTAAGCATCAATGGCCTTTTCTCATATCATTACTCCAGGCATAAAATGCAATAAACCATACAGCACGACAAATTTTTGCAATTTATATTCAATGACAATTCTGACAACATGGCAACACTACAGAGGGGCTATTTAGGTCAGCATTAGCCCCCCAGATGACAAGAGATAGAAAGAGATCTTTTGACCTATCAACTGTGAATTTCAATAACTTTAGTTAAACAAGATGAAAATGCACCCTGGTATTATATTTTTGACAGTTATTGTCAGAACATCATATTGCAACATCTCTTCCATAATTGTAGAAATAAATCTAGTAATCTGAGTGGTTTGAGCATGAAGCAATCAAATATAGTATTTAGATTGTTATTTGTCACATTACCAGTTTATATATATAGATACAGCATACAATACTGCTGTGCACCCATCAGGAAAATTTAATGTAAACCCTTTAGACAAGTATCTGTAGAGAAGGAATGCTTCTACCTTCAATCAGATTTGTCCTTTTTAGAAATGAAGTTATTTCTAGTAAAACTCAGCAAAATATGAGCATGAATGGTCTATTCTGAACACCTATTAGGAACATCAGCCTATCTTTTGTAAATACAATTTGCTCTCCAATTGTGCTTCATGTAATCTCTTCAGTACTGCACAAACTCCCATTCTTATCAGCAGAGTGCAATGCTAGTTGAAATTTTTTAAGTTACATAACCTTTTCCCCCTACCAAATCATCGAAATATATACTCTGCTTGCTTATCAAACATGGTAAATTGCTGGAATTAAGAGATAACCTCAGGAAGGGGGAAAATAAATTCTTGGGAAATGTTAATTTCTACCCTCAATTCAAAAAGGCTGAACTTTTGGTGTCCAACAGTGGAACGAATGCACTCTTAAATCCCTGCCATGCTCATTATTGGATGTAACCTTACAGGTAATGACAGATGTACAAATAAATTACATTTGCAGAATGGATCAAATCACAGGACCCAGACAAGAATGTGCCTAAATGCATTGTTTTTCTGTTATCGTCCCACAGATTAAATTTCCATGCTTTATGCCATTGACAGTTAAATCCCATATAATAAAGACGGAGGTCCATGCCAGCAAGCTTCTGAACCCAAATATGGGCACTATTTGCACATGTGATCTGTCTATTTTCTTAAATTCTAACGTAGAAAATCAATTAAGAAGAAATGAAGAGATAAATGAACAATTATGAAGAAAACCACAGTTGCCAAACTTTTGCCAAGCAGTATGGACATTTCTGAGCTCATAGTCTCATCAGTGCTGTTTCTCTTGCAAACATAAAGTCAAATGAAATGGCACCATGGAGATGAATCTGTCAATACCTACTGGCAAGTATCAATGGTAACCATAAATTAACAAGTAGGAATCAAAATGTGAAAATCCTTATCTGTACTTGCAAACTGGAAATCTGAAGAAGCCAAAAAAGGTAAATATAAATTGGCCGAAGTAAAACTAAAATTGCAAAAAAACAGATGTAAGACCTTAACTATAAATGTGCAATTCATTTCTTAAAGTGGTAATATCTGAGAGCAAATATAGTATTAATGGTACACACAATGGAAGCAATGTAGTTCATGAGGTTTTCCTTGCCAATTGGAGATGTCAATGACCATAAAGGAATAAAGAGGCAGCATGGCATAACTGACTTAGTGTTGGCCTTGGACTCAGTAAGATCTGGGTTTAAATCCAGTCTCAGCCATTTATTAGCTATATGACCATATCCAAGTCACTAAAGCTCTCAGTTTTCTTCCCTGAAAAATGAGGATGATAACAATATCCATAGTATCTCCTCACAAGGCTCAAATGAGACTCAAATGGGTTAATCTATACAAAGGGATTGCAAGCCTTAAAGTGCTGCACACATACACACACACACACACACACACACCCAATATTTCAAAAGATTCATGACTCCATCTGTGTAGGTACTCCTGTGTGTATATTTGGACTGTTTACTCATTAATTTTTATAACAAAAAATAAGTGAAAGTAGATTATTATAAACAGGAAAAATAATTCATTAAAATTTTGTCTTTATATTCCCAAGTGCTTAGCATAGTGTCAGACATATAATGGATACTTAATAAATACTTTTGTTATATTCAATTTTATTTTTAATCAGCAAAAAATCTGCCTTCTCTCCCATTGAGAAATAAAAACAAAATTCATTACAAACATATACTGTGAATTATATTCTATTTAGATATCAGTACGCACATTACAAACATATATATATTCATAGTATATTCATTAAAACATACACAGTGAGTTATATATTAATTTTGCTACCTGATTGATGGCAGAAGAAACACTTGCCACACTTTTCCTAAGTAGTTCACCTCTGAGTTCAAATCCTTACTGCCTTCTGATGATAAGCCTCTACAAACTTAGCTAGGCTAGTCTTCAGATGATAAAAACATAGTCTGCCACTCTAACCCTAGGTAACTTCATTTATTGGAGGAAAAAAAAATCAAATCAACAAGCATTTATATAGTATCTACTATGTGCTATGAGCTAGAGAAAGAAGAACAAAGAAAAAGAGTCCCTGTCCTTGAGGAGTTTGCAATCTAGTCAGGTCAGGCAGCATGTACATTATAAGTACATATAAAATAAACGCAAGTTGACTTCAGGGCTAACTAAATCAAAACCTGAAAAATCAGGAAAAGCCTCCTATAGAAGGCAGAATTTAAGCTGAGTTTTGAGGCAAGACAGGGATATTCAGAGGCCATTTAGGTGAGCATTCCAGGAGTTGGAAGACAGAATGCAAACAGGCCAGTGGAAATGGACCATACAGTGTACGAAGAGGAGTAAATCATAAGAAGGCAGGAAAGGAAGGAAGAGGCTGGGAATGAAGGTTTTTAAATGCCAAACCGAGGACTTTACAGGATGGATCAGTATTAAAGACAGAATAAGAGATGAGAAAGCTTAGGTTCTTTTTTCTTTTTCTAACTAAAGGCCAGTCTTTGTCAGAAGTTATAGGTCCATCCAAATAGTAGTAAGTTTAGCAAATGTACAAATTATAAATCCATTTCCCTCTTTTTTCTGGAAGTTGCTATTATTTTAAAATTGTCTCTAATGAGGAGGAAAAGAATACTTCTTCCAAGTTAACAGAAGTGTCAACATAAGCACAACCTACTAATTTGGTCACTAATGGCCATTAGTCATGCATAAAATATCCACACATTTTTGGCAAATGTCAGTTTCTTCAGATAGATTTATAATCTTCATGACTGGTTTAAACTTGAAGTAGCAGCCTCCTCTTAAATCCTAATGTTCCTTTTCATTCCTGGCCATCTGCAACTTCCTCTCCCCATTTTGCTCTAGTGACTACTAATGAGGTTAAGATGATTGTTTGGCAGCAGAACCCAACCACCTGCCCATTAGGACTTTGGCTTCAATGGCTGAGATGTTTTACAGCTAGAGATGTTGCACCCGATAATGAGACATGTTGCTAATCTTTTTCTAATTCAAGGTCATATTTAGTCTCATTTTAAAGTGGTTGCTAGCCCGGATTCTTTTTTTTTTTTAAGCTCAATCTTCCTAATATGAACCCAGCCTTTTTTTTTTTTAAACTCCACTTCTAACCTTCCTTTATTTCAAAGGTGATAGAAAATGTGGTAGAGATGCAGGGTCTGGAACAACTTCATGTATTATGGCTTGTTCTTGTTTCTAACCCACTCAGCAAAACAGCCTGTACAACTTGGCAATGACCTTCATTTAAAGGAAAGTGACTTCTAATGTTGTTGGACATTTTATTTAAAACAACAACAAAACTGCATACAAAGAATTTTTCTGATTCATTATTACTTTTATTTTTACTGAAAAGGAACACATTTTACCAGTTGTCTGATTTAGAACATATCCCTCAATGAATTAAACTAATTTCTATTTGTGTCAGTCTGAATTCTGTCTTTAGTTGTCTTTGTGTTTGGAAACCATCCCCACCCCCTTTCTGGTCTTTTTCAGCCTCATATAGAATTAGGATATTTACTGTTCAGAGGAATGTTGAGTTAAATGCAGCTTCTCTGCTAGGGTTAAGAGGCAGAGGACTTGAGGGGACACCTCCCCCTCACTCACTCCACACATCCAGCAATTGCCAAATTTTGTTGTTTCTATTTTCAAGATAGCTCTTGACTAAACTCTTTTCCCTCCATTCACATAATCATCATCCTGGTTCAGCCTTCACCTCTCACCTGGATGACTAAAGTAGCTCCCTAATTGGTCTTGGCCTCAAGAATCTCTCCACTCTAATCTATTCTCTAACTAGGTGCCAACAGTGATTTTCCCAAAGGGCAGGTCTGATTATATTACTGTCCTCTCAATAAAACTCCAATAATTCTCTATTACTTCTATGATCAAATATAATAAACTCTTTTGTTTGGCATTTAAAGTTTTTAACCATCCAGTTCTTTCCTATCTTTCCAGTCACAACTGAACTCAGATGACTGTGGAGAAGACAGTGAGGCTGATGACTCTGCACAGCCCTGCCTCACTTAAATCTTATTCACTTGAAAGTCAAGACATCACCCTCCTGATGTCATTGGTCCTCTTTGAGAACGAAGAACAAACAACACTTATTCTACACGTACCCTATGATGTAGCCATAGTGGCCTATGCTCATCCTCTGCCTCCATGCCTTACTGGCTATCTGTCCCCTCCTTGGAATACCCTCACTTTTCACTTGGACCTCTTAGAAACGCTGCTGAAATGACACCTGCTGTAGAAGGCCTCCCCTCCAACCTCCACTCCCCTCAGGTACTACAGCCTTGCTCCCTAAGGTTACCTTGCATCTCTTCTGTATGCATCTTGTAAACACCTATTTGTGTAAACGTTGTCATCTCCAGTCAGAATGTAAGCATAAAACAAAAGGAATATAAGAATTTTGAGGACAGGGACTGCTTCCCTTTT